CTGGAGAACGAAGAGAGAAGGTGCCGGCCGCGTGAAGTTGCGGCTCTCCGCCTGGCAGGGCTTGAGGGGCTCAAAGTCCAAGGCGTCGCTAGTCACCCCGGTGTGTCCGGGTCCCCGGGCTAGAGACATGACCCGACAGCGCGCCCCGCGGGCCCCGGGGCCGGGAGCGCCGCTGAGCGGGTCGGTGCTGGCCGAGGCGGCGGTGGTGTTCGCCGTGGTGCTGAGCATTCACGCGGCGGTGATGGACCGGTACTCGTGGTGCGCCGTGGCCCTCGCCGTGCAGGCCTTCTACGTCCAGTACAAGTGGGACCGGCTGCTCCAGCAGGGGAGCGCCGTCTTCCAGTTCCGAATGTCCGCCAACAGCGGCCTGCTGCCCGCGGCCATGGTCATGCCTTTGCTCGGACTGGTCATGAAGGAACGCTGCCAGGCCGCCGGGAACCCCTACTTCGAGCGCTTTGGCATCGTGGTGGCGGCCACCGGCATGGCCGTGGCCCTCTTCTCGTCGGTGTTGGCCCTGGTCATCACTCGCCCGGTGCCCACCAACACTTGTGTCATCTCGGGCTTGGCTGGCTGTGTCATCACGTATATCATGAAGCACTCGCTGCGGGTGGGCGAGGTCATCGAGGTCCTGGAGGTCCTGTTGATCTTCGTCTACCTCAACATGATCCTGCTGTACCTGCTCCCCTGCTGCTTCACCCCTGGGGAGGCGCTGCTGGTGTTGGGGGGCATCAGCTTCCTGCTCAACCAGCTCATCAAGCGCTCCCTGACCGTGGTGGAAAGCCAGGGCAACCCGGTGGACTTCCTCCTGCTGGTGGCAGTGACGGGCATGGTCCTCATGGGCATCGTCTTCAGCGCCCTCTTTGTCTTCATGGACTCGGGGACCTGGGCCTCCTCCATCTTCTTCCACCTGATGACCTGTGTGCTGGGCCTCGGCGTGGCCCTGCCCTGGCTCTATCGGCTCATCCGGAGGAACCCCCTCTTCTGGCTTTTTGAATTCCTCTTCCAGACGGAAACCCGCCTCTACCTCCTAGCCTACTGGTCTCTGCTGGCCACCTTGGCCTGCCTGGTGGTCGTGTGCCAGAATGCCAAGCGGTCGTCTTCCGAATCCAAGAAGCACCAGGCCTCCACCGTGACCCGGAAATATTTCCACTTCATTGTGGTAGCCACCTACGTCCCAGGTATCATCTTTGACCAACCACTGCTCCACGTGGCCGCCACTGTGTGTCTGGCAGTCTTCATCTTTCTAGAGTATGTGCGCTATTTCCGCATCCGGCCCCTGGGCCACACTCTGCGCAGCCTCCTCTCCCTCTTCCTGGATGAACGGGACAGCGGACCGCTCATCCTGACACACATCTACCTACTCCTGGGCATGTCTCTTCCCATTTGGCTGATTCCCAGGCCCTGTACACAGAAGGGTAGCCTGGGAGGAGCGAGAGCCCTAGTCCCCTATGCCGGCGTCCTGGCTGTGGGTGTGGGTGACACTGTGGCCTCCATCTTTGGCAGCACCATGGGGGAAATCCGCTGGCCCGGAACCAAAAAGACTTTCGAGGGGACCATGACATCTATATTTGCCCAGATCATTTCTGTAGCCCTCATCTTAATCTTTGACAGTGAAGTGGACATAAACCACAGTTATGCTTGGATTTTGGGGTCCATCAGCACAGTGTCCCTCCTAGAAGCATACACTACGCAGATAGACAATCTCCTTTTGCCGCTCTATCTCCTGATACTGCTGATGGCCTAGCTGTTGTGCAGCAGCGATGAAGGAAACAGGGACGTGGAGAGAACAAATGGTCCCCACAGCGGCCAGCTTCTTGGGCATAAAGAAGCAAGGGGTGAGAAGCAGATTTGATTTTTCAGTTGATTCAGATTCAAAATAAAAATGAAAGCTCTCCTGGTTTTAGTGTTGCTGATATTAAAAAGCAAAAAGACAGCCCAGCTGGTGCAGCTCAGTGGTTGAGCGTCAACCTATGAACCAGGAGGTCACAGTTTGATTCCTGGTCAGGGTACATGCCCAGGTTGTGGACTTTATTCCCAGTGGGGGGGGAGGGGGTGTAGGAGGCAGCTGATCAATGATTCTCTCTCATCATTGATGTTTCTCTCTCTCTTGAAATCAAAATATATTAAAAAAACAAAAAAAGACTTAGGGGGTGGTGCAACGACTCAACTTGAGTGTGCTATGGGTCCCTGCCTCTCATCTTGCAGTCCTCAGAGGGGGCAGGAGCGGACACTGGAGGCCATATTGCATAATGGTTAACACTTCAGGCTCTCTGTCAAACTAAACCGGTCAATCCTTGGCTGTACCACTTTTTTTTTTAAATATATTATTAATTTCAGAGAGGAAGGAAGAGGGAGAGATAGAAACATCAATGATGAGAGAGAACCATTGATCAGCTGCCTCCAGCACATGCCCTACTGGGTTTTGATCTCGCAACCTGGGCATGTGCCTGACCGGGAATCAAACCTGGGACCCTTCAGTCTGCAGGCCAACGCTCTATCCACTGAGCCAAACTGGCCAAGGCGGCTGTACCACTTCTTAACTGTGTGACTGGCTTTACCATTCTGTATGAATGACCCACATCCCAGGTGGTTCAGGGTTCGTGCTCTGGAGAAGGGCCGCGTGCAAATGACAGAGTCGAGCAAGAAATAATTTGGAAATTGGGGGGCCAGGCGGGAGCCCAATGCAAGAGGAAGGACTCGGCTTGTGCTCAGGCCTTGCCGTCCTTTTATTCAGTTTGGGATCCACCTATAGCCCTTAGGCAGGCAAGTTCCAGTAACAGGCAGACTCTTATCAGTAAGGATTTACATGACTATCTGGTGGGGAAGTTGCTTCAGCTACCGATGTCTCGACTAAATAGTCGGTGCATAGCTCTGCCCTTTGCCAGGGCTCAAGGGACACCAGCCTTCCAGGCTCCTTGTCCACACCTCTCTGCTAGTGAAGACAATGGGCGGCTTCCCACACTTCTGGGCCTCAGTTCTCTGCGAGATGGGAATAAGCCTGCACCTCACAGAGTTCTGTGAGGATCTGATGAGGTGAGGTGTGTATAATGTCCAGCCCGGGGCCCACACATCACAAGCAATC